GAACTAATGAAGTACATTCCTGGGTAATTTGATTTCCTTTTTTTACTGTCAAGATTTACTTGATAATGGAGAGGTTACCAGTTAAAGTAATTTAAATAAAAACTTGCAGAACAATTAAAGTTGTACTACAAGGAAACTGTGGTAGATGACGCCTATCCCAGCTGCCAGAGGGAGAGAGACAGGGTACACCCTGGACAGGTCGTCAGTCTGAATTAAACCAACTTGATTTTATTATATTTTTATATTTTTATATATCACCTAAAACTGTTTCACACTGGAAGATAAAACCTCTGCTATATTAGAGAAAATACAGATGGCCTGATAGTTCTGTGTGAGAAAACACTTGGTAACACTGGGAAGTGCAATGAACCTCCAGCAGGACCAAGCTCAGGGACAGGGAGCCATCTGCTACACTTGGTTGGGAGGTGATGTCAAAGAGAAGAAAAAAAGTAGTACTGACAATCCATGAACAACAAACTAGGAGAAAGTAAATAAAACTTAATGGGAATAGTCCAGTAAAGATACACACTGGCTGTTTATGTTCTAGGAATCCCAGATAAATCCATTCCCAAAAGTTCCATTGTTAATATTCTCCAATCATACACAGTTCTGTGAAAGCCAGAAAGAACATTCTTCAGCCAGAGCTGGAAGACATGTTGTCATTTTAGACAGTGGAATGACTCAGCTTTTTGTGATCACTTAGTCTTCATCTCCCGCTGAAACGTAATGGTTTGCACACAGGTTAAATCCATCAAGTTCAGACTCTCAGCAGGTTGCATTCTGGGCTAAGTAGGAAATCTGTTGCTGGTGGATCAGAAAGGCCAAAACAGTGTGGCTGCAGAAAAAAATAAATTATACAGCAGCCACAAAGTCACTGCTGGAATGTAGTGAATACAGACGTATAAGGAGTAGCTTTCCTTGAAGGACTTTAAAACAACAGCTGCTGAAAACAAGACTGAAATTCTGCTGAGCAGCTTGAAATATGGATGCTCAATTAAACAGTTTCTATTAAAAATAATAAAATGCCAGAAGAATGGTACTTTAAATTAAGAGCTATTCTTCTGCCAGCTTTGCAAAGAAATAATTGAATTTAAAAAGTCCAAATGCAGTATTTAAAGCTAATGAAATGGGTCTTACATGGACACCAACTGTCATTCTAAATGCAATCAAGCTATGAAAAATAATACTGGGACTAACGCTGCAAAATTGCTCTTAAGTTGTTTTATACTCCAATATGCATTCATTTTTTCCTGACCAACAATGTGTCAGCTTTAACCCAGACACTTTTCAGAAAGCACATAACTGCCACATGTTCTAGTTCTGCTTTATAGTGAAGGATCCAAAGAAAAGACCAAAATGAATTGCTTTCCAGGACTGATCTCTACACTAGTAAAATCGCTATACAAATACAGACCATTTACCATCTCTATAGCTCTGCGAGTGAACAAACAGGGGTCACACATTTATTGTGATGCTGTGGCACACTTTGCATAAAAGCTTCGGATAAGCGCGACTGATTTATTTATGTATTTTTTGGTATGTTTTCCGCACTGTGATTCCTCTTGCCAGTGTTATTTCAGAAGCACATCATGCATCTCAGTTATGCATCTGTGGTGCAGGTGGAATGATTACAGGAAATGAAGGTGAGCATTTTTGAGGAATAGGGGTAAAGACAATGTGTTTTCATATTATGTCTTGTAAATATGATTTTATTGTTTAACATTGATTTATTTGTTTGTACTATTTTATTTTAACGTTATCTTTATGAGCTCATCATAGCTTTAAAAATTTATGTAGGTCTCTGCATTCATTATTTTGTTTACAGTCAATAAGTCTAATGGCA